AAACCGTTCTGGCCATCGGTTTTTGGTCGGTGGTTCGACTGTTCGGTTTGAATGGATGGCCCGTTCTGACAACAAAAATTAAAAAATAAAAAAATGACCGAAAACCATTGAATGGGTCAACGATTTGACCACCTTGGTCAATGGATCGTTGACTGATTCAATGATTTTTTGGCTAGGGACTGAGATTAAGATAAAACGGAACTGGTTGCCTAGATTGTTCCCAATTAAAAAAAAACAGCAAAAAACCATTGAGCAGGTCAATAATTCAACGATTCAACCACTCAGGTCAATGGGTCATTGATCGGTTCAACGGTTTTTGGTCAGGAACTGAGTCAATGGGTCAATGGGTCGACGGTTCCATTCCAGGCCCTACGAAGCAGGGCCCCTCCACTAGTTATTTAAGTATTATAATGAAATTATGTATTAACTTTAAAATATTTATTATGTACACAAAATAATATTTTTATGGATTATTCAATTTAAAAACTAAATAATATTTTAAAAATTTAAATGACAAAATTATTTAAACGTTTTTTCACATATTAAAAATTTAAAACAAAAAATATATTATTCAAACATTTCAAAAACTAAATACTTTAAATAAAAATATTAAAAATAGTTAAACAATTATATAACATAATATTGAATATTACATATTAAATTTAAAATAAATAAAATTTAAATAAAAATTTATAAATATTTTAACTATTACTTAAATATCTAAATATTTAACATAACTAAATTTTAAATAATTAAAATAACGAAATTATGTAATAAATTTAAAAAAATCTTACAAGTAAAAAAGTAATTATAATAGATTTCATAATATTAGAAATAATAATATAACGAAATTATATAATAATAGTATAAATTATAATTTTACAAATTATTAAATTCAATAAATAATTAATATTTTAAAAATATAACTAATTACATTATTTTAATAACTAAATAATTTTTAAATATGTTAAATATAAAAAAATTAATAACTAAATTATATTTTGAATATTAATTAAAAAATAGCTTAAATAAGGAAATTATGTAATAACTTTAAAAAATAATATTTATCAATAATAAATTTGAAATATTTATTTATTTATTATATATTTCTATATACTAAAGTTAATATTTAGTGTATTTTTAGTAATTATTTATTGTATTTGTGATAAATATGTTTTTAATAATTATGTATAGATCTATTTTTGTTTCATTATTTAACAAAAGAAATTCAATAACCATTGGAGTTAAAAAAATTATTATTTAAATTTTAAAATTAATTTATTGTACTTATTGGATTTATTATATTTTTTTTTGTAATTTACTGATTAATATTTGTTAGAGATTAAACTATGATTGCATACTACAATATTTATTGACTAATTTAATATATTTTTAGTATTTAATATATTTTTGTAATTATTGAATTCATTGTATATTTATTGTATTTTCATTATAAATTTATTTTCAATAATTGTGTATTTTTGCTATAAATTCTCAATAATTATTGGAGATTAAACTATTGCTATTAATTAAAGAGTAGATTTTTAATTTAGTTAAAATTAGGAGTGTTCATGGGGGTCATTTTGGATCGGTTGAAGGTTGTTTGGCCAACTAAACCAAGTTGGTTGGGTTGGGGAGTTGGTCACCCGAAACTAGATGTTCATGGGTTGGGTAGCCCAATGGGTTGGCCTGGCTCAACCCATTTTAAATCGGGCATGGAGAATGTTTTAAGCCCATGGGCTCAGGCTTGGGCTTTAAACGTCAAGCTTGACTATTTTTGGGTTGGGCTCGGGTTTTCCCAAATAAGCCCATCCCAAGCTCAAAGAATATAATTTTATTATTATATAATAATAAAATTAGTACTGAAAAAGTAGTATATATTGTAATATATAGAACAATATAAAATATATAATATATTATAATAATGTATAGTTAATATAATATAAAATATTTGTCTAGATCGGACTTCAGGCTTGGTCTCAAGATCTAGGCTTGATGGTCGGGTCGGACTTGGGCTCAGGCCTAGTCATTTTTGTTCATAAAGAGAAAAAGCTTGGCCTGAGCCTACTTGTGTATAGGTCTACTCGAAATCGACCAATCGTTAGTAAACATCGGCCAAGTCGGGTTCTATCAAATTGGTCAATTGACTCAAAAGATTTAAACTTAAAAGTTAATTGTAAATTTAAAAAATTACAATAGTATTATTAAAAAATAAATAAATAATTTAAATTTATAATATAAAATATTTTAGACTAAGAAATATGGAAAGTTTCCCACTTTCTATATTAATAATCATATTTAATATATATATATATATATATATATATATATATATGGTCAAGTCGGTTCGATTTTGGTCAGTTTACAAACGACCAAAGTTAGGTCGGATTTGGAAATTGCTGAACCAAAGCTGATCGGAAAATACTAGAAATTTGACTAATTCAAATCAAATTTGGTCGGGTTGGTCGGTTTCATTAATTTGATGAACCATCCTAGTTGAAATTAATTATTTTTATTTTTATATTGCAAAAAAATTATTAAAAGTAGTATATAAAATATAAATAATTATTAATTATTTAAAATATTAAAATATAAAACAACTGTATACATCACATAGGTCCCTGCTAGTCATTAATATGCATTGACTCCTTTTGGGGATGGGCTATTGAGACCCTTTTAACTTATTTGCTCCCCTTGCTTGAACTTCTAGGTAGGAGTGTCAATCGACTGGTTTTGGATTGGATTCAATCCGATCCACATCTTACCAAATCAGATTTGGACAATCTGTAATAATTATTGGGTTGGGCCAATCCAAAATAAATTGGTCCATATTCTTATTGGTTTGAATTATACCTAAGTCAAATTTCCAATAATCTGATCACGAGGCCAAACCCTTGTCTAATTTGAAATTGATCAAAACTAAAGCCGGCACAAAATCACTTTTATGAAAGTACTTTTACGAAAGCACTTTTACAAAAGTAATTTTATATGAAGTACTTTTACGAAAGCATTTTTATAAAAGTACTTGTACGAAAGTGCTTTTCAATGCCAAAAGGGTATATTTTTATAATTTTTAGATTTTCTTCATTTTAATATATTTTCTTAATTTTTGATATTTCATTTGGTTTGGATTGGATCCAATCCAATCCATTTACATTTTAATGGATTGGATTGGATCCCCAGTACATTTATAAGACTGGATCAGGCTGGACCAAATCCAGACCAATTAAACACCTCTACAAGTAACAACAAATCCCAACTTATGAGTATGGATATTTATGTACGTGGATGAGACACCTGTTTAAGTGGGAGATGAAGTAGTTGGGTAATATTGTGTGATGACTTAATAATGTGTGGTAAGAGATAACTTTAGTTGTCCCAACAATCAACTCTTATAGAGCTTCTGATACATGGGACATCTGAGATCTTAAGTTGGTTTCGTCTAGATTGAATCAAATCCATGTAGAATCCTAATATATAACTTCTTACATGATTTGTTAAGTTATATTCAATATTTTCAAGTAGAACTGATGTCTGTCTGATGATATAAAAGGAGAAGGAGAGAGACAGACAAAGACAGAGAATAAAGTATAAAGAACTTTATCAATAAAATATAAATTATAAAGCAGCAGGTAAGTAGCAGAGGGACCCGAACCCATGATACTCTAGAATGAAATTTCATCAATCATATTTTTCCTTTTATAAAGTTTTCCAGCAAAACATATATCCAACTTTAGACCACCCCATAAGGAGGAGGAAAGAATATATAATCTCTTGCGATTGATCATAACCAAATATTATTATTATTTGGTTGAAATTTAAGCTGCATAAATGGTTTGAGTTATGATGATCTGGCTGCCAAGACAAGTTGGCAGGAAAACCTTTAAAGAGTAAAATACATGGGATGGGGTTGGCTTCATATATAAGCAACTGGTGCACTGCTTGACAGATCTTAATAGCTGGGGATATGGCCCTCTACGCTGCCTTGTGAGTTGTGATGCAACTCTCATCGTCATCGATCGAATCATTTTCTTTATTTAATTAATTTGCTCTTCCAATGTTCTTCATTTCAAGGAAATGGAAAATTACACTTTCAGTTAGAAACATCTCAAACTATGTAAATTAAAGCAATCCAGATATTTCAAAGCAGCTGGATGATTCAAGTCTAAGGAAAAGGTTGGTCTTCTGATCTTTTACCGTTTGATTTTTATCTGAGATGAGAAAACACAAGAAAAAAAAAAAAAAGTTGATAAATAAAACAAGGGAAGAGACAGAGGAGCTTGAATGGTTCCAGTACCCACCCACCTGTAAGGCAAATAAGGATAGTACGTCGGACCCATTCTCAAGATGACGTGGCTTATCATGATTGGTCAAATATCCTCGGGGTTCTCGTAGAGGATTAAAACGATCAGGATTTGGGAACACCGAGTCACCGACCACGAGAGGGAGAGGGACCGACCGACGACCGGCTTCTTCCCTAATTCCCTGCTCCCCGACCCAGTGGTGTGGGTAACTGGTAACTGGTAAGGGTTGTGCCAGCTGCAGTTGTGTTGAGCTTGTTGTTTGGACTGTTGAGTTCGAAATGTCAGAAGGGGACTGGAATGCCGACAACCCTAATGAGTAGGCCCCACTCTTCACATGGTAGCCAGGTAATTTTTCGACATCTATTCTAGGTCTCTCCTTTGGGCCCACCCAACCACACATTGAATACTACGTTCCAATCAAAACACGAAACATACACGTTTTAACCTGCACATTCTACGCGTATTAACATCCTCTCTATGATTTTTTCTTTTTATTTTTTTCCAGCCAAATGAGTTCAAGTGACAAATACGGTTAGAGTGAAGTAAGTGATAACACAGCTAAACCATGAAGAAAACGGCTATAATTTTTTGAAAAATCCATTTCCAGTCCTTCTGTTATTTCTTACTACTTCACCTTGTCCTTTAATCATCTAATAAATCATTTTTCTGTTTTCTTCAAACAAGAAAAAGAAAGATTTCATCTCTCCCCTCTCTCTCTCTCTCTCTCTCTCTCTCTCTCTCTTTATCCTCTGTATCTTTCTGCCTGTACTCTGTATCTCATGTCAGTCTTTTAATCTTCTGTCTGTAAGTTTCAGCGCCCTACTCTTCTATTTCTATCTACCAACCTCCTTCAGTCCAGCTAAGCTTTTCTAGCAGCAACGTTCCCCTTGGTTGTTTCTCTTCTTTTGTGATATTGCCGAATTTGGAAGCGTTTTCTTCTTTTGTCTGCTTTACCATCCCCACCCCTCCTAATTTGGCGAAATTCACTATAATTTGAAGAAATTTCATTTACTTGATAGTTAGTATACTGATATCTGTTGGGGACGGTTGCCGAATCTGGTGACGATATGGGTGAGAAAGAAGCTAAGAAAGTTGAGACTCCAGCGGCCTTGGAGCCTGCACCACCTCCGCCTGTTGCAACTGTTTCTGAGAAGAAAACAGCAACTCCACCTTCCGAAGACAAAGTCGATGACTCCAAAGCTCTTGCAGTAGTCGAAAGTAATCTCTCTCTCTCTCTCTCTAAAATCGAATGCGTTTAACTATTTTCGGTGTCTATTTCTACTAGAATTCACAGACGTTCTTATTTTCGGTGATTTTTTTCCTCTATTGTATCCAGTTCATATGTGGTTACCGAAATTCGACCAGATCTTTTAGAAGTAACGTGCATGTGAATTGTAACTAACATAATCAATTTGTTAGAAAAAAGCTTATTCTCATTAGCTAATTTTATTTGTGATCAACTTTTGGAATTAATTCTGTGTGCAAGTTGTGCAAAGCAGGCCCAAATATGTGATATTTTATAGAATTCAAGCTTCTCCTTTGCTTCAACTAAATGCTTTTGTGGATCATTGGAGGGACTAATGAGTGCTTTTCTTAGATCCCTGGTTGTAAAGAGACATCTAAGAGTTTTCTATCAATTAATTTGTCATTGTTCCTTTGGATCTGTATTTCTTCTGGTTACGCTCAATTGTGCTCCTTTGTTTATGGATTATTTCTTTTTTGGGTGGACTAACTTTTAGGAATTCCAAAATGATACGATCACTTTTGCTTTATACGTCTGAGTTGGTGGGCATACTACCTTTTGACATCCCCCCATTTTACAAATCCATTTCATCACATCTTCAAGGATATATAAACCCTTTGCCGATGTCTGTTATGATCAAGGGAGTTTTGGTTTTTCAACCCTAAAGATCAATTTATCAAATACTGTTCTGGGTTTGATCGTTGAGCTTCATGAAAGGTGATTTTTTCACACAAGATGTATCATGATGTACTCTGTATTTCTTCTTCCTTTTCTTGTTCAGAAAAAAAGGTGATTAAAGTACTTCTCAGGAAGATGATAAGTTCTAAAGGAAACTTGAAGTTTGTTGTCTGTGATTTTTAATTACTTGTAATCATCTTTTTCTTGTTTGTATTACCAAGATTTACTAACAATGGACAGGGACAAGGAGCATGTGTGCATTATTAGGTAAAAAGCATGACTGAAATCATCATCATTGTCATCGTCATCTAGCCTTATCCATCTATATGGGGTCGGCTACATGAATCCTGTTTCGCCATTCCATTCTGTTTAATGTCATATCCATTGTTAAATTATTAGCACTTAAATCATTTCTTACTATTTTGACCCATGTCCTTTTAGGTCTACCTCTTCCCCTTCTAGCCCCTTCAACTTGCAACAGATCACATTTTTGGGTGTTTTTTGGAAGTTTTTTTTATGCTTTGCACTTGCAGTCAGTGGTGATTTCTGGTGATAAAAATTGAATTGACACATAAATGTTAATGGTCCCCAGGGATATTGATCCAACAGTTCTAACCATTCCCGTTGTTTATTTGTTAATGTGGAGGTTACCAACCTTTTGGAAGGATTTTTGTTTGAAACATGAAGCAATATAATTCTCCCTTGATGTATAACTTTAAAACGATACTGTCTAACCGAATCATGGTTTTTTCTGTCTCTGGCAGAGGCTCCAGACTCCAAAGAGGAGAAACATCCTAAAGAGGAGAAACATTCTAAGGGGTCAGCTGACAGAGGTAAATGTTGAATTAGAACTTTTACCTATGATGGGTGGCTTATCCCTAGAATATCTAGTTACTTGTTTCATAATTCTTCAGATATTGTTCTTGCACGGGTTGAGAAAGAGAAGACATTGTCTTTAATCAAAGCATGGGAAGAAAGCGAAAAGGCAAAAGCTGGGAACAAGTAAGACAGTTGCATTCTCTTTATTCTTTCAACCATCTCTTGGTACCAGAAATTAAGTTACTTGGAATGAAGGAGGATTTCAGGATTGGTCATAATTACAGATTAATTAGAGACCTGCCTTGCATTTATTTCTACTAAATTTTACGTGATCATTGTGTTTCATGAATAATCAGATTTTCTACTAAATATCATCCTGCCAGCTTGAATTTCTTTTTTGTAATTCTTATGCAGGTTCTTCTTTCTCACAAACCTAAGTTATTGTTCATGTTTTGCACTAGTGGCTTACACATGCATCTGTACTTTCCTTTTATAGATATGCATAATAGAAATAGAAATTAAAAAATATCAACAAGAGCTTTTCACTAAGTTACCATTTATGTTTTGTATTGTGCCTTTGCTCTTCACTAAAAGCTTGTTAAAGTTTGATTTCTGTTTGCAAACCTATCAGTGCAAAGTAATTAAACCTCTTTGGCCATAAAATGAAAATTTCTGTCATAGTATATGAACTAATTTCATAATTCATTACTTCTTAAATATTCACAAACATGAGCCTAGAATGTACCATCTATGATCTATAGAAACAAATATCAGTTGAGGAATGGATATCAATTTAGGGAGGTACGCATATATGGACACTGCAAACAACTTAAAGAAGGAAGAAGAAGGAAACACAGTTTGGTATTCACTCTTCTGAAACTTAATAAGGCACACTTTTCACCATTGGAGAAGTGGAGAAGCAGCTGAAAGCCCCTAGAAACCAGTGCATGTTTTCTAATGCTCTAGGAAACAAACATATCAAGTGCTTGATTTTTAGCTTTGTAGAGCTGTTAACTCTGCATCAAGAAGTGTGGCACTAAAAGTTTCAGTATCCTCTAGAACCCTCTAGACTTCAACTCAAATCTGTAAATTATATTACAGATGAAACAGGTAGACCACCATCTACACTGATTCAATTCAACTTAACTAAGCCTTGTCTGAACTATATGGGATCAACTAATTTATAGAGAATCAAGATGTTTTAATATAAAATACATCCAGAGTTTAATAGGTGTAACAAGATAAGGAATGTAGTCAAAGAAGGCAAAGTTGAAGGATCTCATTACCAAATATATCACAATCATGTGGCACTAATGCTAGAGGCATTCTGTTCAATGTTATATTCCCTGGAATAAGATCTTTTTAACTTTTTTTTTCTATATTTCATACATGTATTCTGGGAGTATATTATATCAAGGTATCATAGTTAATTCTGCCATGTCTACCTTTATTTTTTCACTTGACTGGTTGAGGTTGACAAAGACTGTGGACATGACAATAATCTTAGAGAACTGTATAACAAACTCAAGTTTTATAAACCAACTATTTAATAGTCATGATAAACTAGATGATATTTTTAAGAAGAAGAGTATATTCTATTTACAACTTCATTATGAGGTAATCTGGTACATGTTCAATAACTTAGCATACTTAAACAATTTAAACAGGGCGGATAAAAAGTTGTCAGCAATTGGCTCATGGGAGAACAGCAAGAAAGCATCTGTGGAAGCTCAGCTCAGAAAAGTTGAGGTATACCATTCTCATAACTCTTCCTATGTTCAAAAGATTGAGGTAAACTGTTCTCATAAATCTATACATTATGGATATCTTTTGTCAATTTACTTTGTGATGCACCTTGAAAAAAACAAATCTATTAGGAGGAACAAATGCACTTACCATCAGTTATTTATCGAAAAAGAATGGTAGTGTGCTATTTTCACTAGGATAATATCACTTTCATAATCCTGAATCTGTATCAGATCTAGCCAAGCTTGTCAGTACCATGACATAAGATTCCAACCACTAGCAAACCATGATATTTTTTCAGTGGTTGCCATATAATAGCAACAAAAATCCCATGGTATTATTAAGCTCTTTTTAGGTATTAATCTAACTATTTGTTCAAATGGAATGGTAAAAACTGGGATTTGAATTTATATACTAGGAAAGCTTTTTGTCTAGATAGCCTTTAGTTTTTACTACTCTGAACACAACTTTTCTTCTTCCCTAAAAATTTGAGGAAAAAATAAGCCTTTTTCTTCTTTCAAATCTAAATTAGCTATCAATCTTATTTTAAGAATCAAAAAGGAGAACCATCTTCAGGGCTAAACTCTGGATTATGCTTCAAACCCTATTCTCTATCTTATTTAAGTTTTTTTATTTCATACTTCGTTTGAGGAACAAACATTTACTGTAAAATCTTTGACATGTTTGGAAAGCCCTATACATCAACTGATCAAGACCCAGGTCAGCTAATGTTGTTTATGGACCTAGTCCAAGACAAGAATTCCTGGTCTATCAACAAAGACTCAAGTTGTATCTGTCTAACTGGTTTGCTTTGGTATAACTAAGATGGCCACAAAAAAAAAATTGCTTAAATGGAAGGGAATAAAAATTGAACACTCAATTAAGGAGTCATCTATCTACTTTCAGCTAAATGTTTACTTTCTTGCTTAGTTGCTTATCAAAAGAAGGGTAGAAAAATGTGGAATAGGAGCTCCTGTTTCATTTCTAATAAGAAAAATCTTTCATACAAACAGGAACAATACGAGAAGAAGAAGGCAGGATATGCAGAGAAAATGAAAAACAAGATAGCTCAAGTCCACAAAGAAGCAGAAGAAAAGAGGGCAATGGTTGAAGCCAAGCGTGGGGAAGATCTACTCAAGGCAGAGGAGATGGCTGCCAAGTACCGTGCCAAAGGGATTGCTCCAAAGAAGCTCCTGGGGTGCTTTTGAAGTTAATATTCTCAAGCTTGACAAATAGAAGTGGAAAATATGTTTTGGTTTTTTGGCATCTGTATATTTCCTCTTTTTGTTTGGCTTGCTATTTACTGTTTGTGTTTGGTGGAGATTTACTAAATGTCCAATGTAGTTCGAATGTTTGATGCGTGTGTGTAAATAAAGGAAGAACATATTTATTTTCTGATAACAGATGTTTGAAATATTCTTCAGGTTTTTGGACTTAGGAAATTGGCTAAAACCATTGCATCCATTGATTACTTTAGAATCTACACGTCTATGTCTGAAACAGAGAGATGACTCAGAAAATTGAAATGCAAGTCATCAGACTCTATCACATAATTGAAGAACTTCTACAATCCCTTTGGCCATCTGTAACATTACAGAGATTATAAGTGAAGCACTGGTATTTTACTGGTGCAACATTTTCGGTTTGATATAGAAAATAATTTTATCTTTACAAATTACGACCAAGAAAAAGATGCTTTTGAAAACAAAGACATTGTTCTTGATATGGGTGACCGGTGACTACTATTTGGTTGGCATAAACACCAACAGATTTTAACACCCTTTAAAGCTTTTATGGATCAGTAATCCGTAACAACGTATTAAGTAGAAGTAAAAAGTAAAATTGATTTGTTTGGTAAAAAAAGGAAAATAAATTAATATCAATACAATTACATTTTTTTGATACGTATGAAGGAAGATCAAACCTAATGGAATATGGCTCCACCCTTTATGTCCATAGACCATATGTAGTTTAGAGCCAAATGGAAACTAACAACAAATCCAACCCTCTACCAACTTGATGTAACACCGTTCATCTCACCATGAGACTGGGACCCACTATAAAAGTAGGACCTGCCATGTATGAGATGTGTGTGTGAGACCATATGTTGGTAGAGGGTTGGAAGGTGTTTTAATTTGCTGGGACCTGCCATCTGTGCATTGGCATAAGTGTAATATAATGGATTCCCAAAAACATCTGATAAATAGATGTATCAGGAACCAAAAGACATGGGTTCAATGTCTTATAGAAGGAAAGTGCATGAATTGGAAAACTTTGGAAACCACAAATAAAAGATCAGGTGGCATAATCAAAATGCATTGCAAAGCATTTGTATTCATGAGGATCTTGTAATGAGTCGCATCGGACCATGAGAGATGAGCATCGACTTGAAGTGGTGTAGGTGCTAGTTTAGCACCTTCCCTTTTCTAGTTCATCTCCATCGGTGAGAAGCAGGTACTCATTTGAAAGATGCATTCTAGCTAGAGGGGGGCCTCAGCCGAGCAGATATTCTTGAGGATGATTGTGCTTCTTGAGATGTGTTGTCACTTGAAGTGTTTCTCTATGAGTTTTCATATTCTTCTTGGGTTGTTCCTCCATTTTCATTATTCACCATTCAAGAACTTGGACCTAAGTCCACAAAAGCTTTCTTGCTCATACCTTGGCCTTTCCACCTTATTAAGGTCTTCAGTAGTCTCACTCTCCAAGAACGCAACATCTCTACTCTGAATGATAATCTTGTCTATAGAATCCCACAACATATAGCCGAAATCTTCATGACAATATCCAATGAAGATACATTGCTTGGTCTTAGTTTCAAGTTTGGGCCTTTCATCTTTCGGAATTTTATAGATGCCTTGCAGCTGAAGAGTTGCAAATGATCATAGGGAGCATCCTTCCCTCTCTAAACTCTTTTAGGAACATCACCCTTTAGTGTAACCGGGCACAAAAAATCGATTAAGTCCACTGTCATCCTCATGGCCTCTCTTAAAAAGGCTTGGATAACTTGGAGTAAGGGAGTACATACTTTATCTTTTCAACTATGGTTCGACTCATCCTTCTACTAATTTCTTCTAACGTGGAGTCTTGGGAATAGTCTGATGCCATACTATCTGCAATTTCAACTATGGTTCGACTCATCCTTCTACTAAAAAGCTTTGTTCTACCTGGTCTTGCACTCATATAGATTCTCCAGCTTATGCCATCATGTATCCATCGATTTCTTATGCTACATGGTGGGAGATACTCAAGTCTACACATTGCCTAATTTATCCAATATCTTTCCTATTTAGAAGCTCCTGTCGGTCTTAGTCTGGGGTTTGATCCCTTTCAGGTTGATGGGCTGAAATATCTCTTTACATTAGAGGTTCTTCCATTCTAGTCATCCAGACTGTGTAGTTTAAAAATGTAAACTTGAAAATCATGCAAGTATTCTCTTCCATCTCAATAGAGATAGAAAAAAAAATCACACAACACCGAACTTAGGCTTTGATACTAGTTTGTTGGGAAGTGGGTGTGTAATTTTGAAAGCAAATAATGAACTAGCAAAATGGTAAAGATAAATAAGCAGAACAATAATAGAAAACAAGCACATAGACAACATTTTACATGAAAAACCCTTCTGAAACTTGAAGGGAAAATCGGGAAAAATCACAGGACATTAGTCAAGGTGAGTTAAAGTAAAGAGAAGAGTTGTCTTCAAAGAATGGGTCGAATTTCACTATATTGAATAACTGTACAAGACTGAATATATATACAAAAATAATAAAGAATAAATTGGAAACAATTAAAAGAATAGAAACAGAGAAATAAGGAAATGAGCTTCAGTAGGAAACTTCCTAAGATGAGAGTTTCCATTTTGCTTTGATTGATTTCTCTTTAGTAAGAATCCTTTGTATAGTAGTTGGTCCTTCTTTAGCATGAAGACTAGAGCCTTCTTTGGTAGGAGATCTAAAGCTCTCTTTGGTAAGAGTACTAGAGCTCTCTTTAGCAGGAAGGCTAGAGCTCTCTTTGGTAAGAGGGGAAGAGATAGGGTTGGTAAACTCCTCAATACGCAGCGAAAGTGGGCTGGAAGCACTTGAAGTTTGGACCGAAGCCATTCGAACCAATGAGAGGAGAGCGGCTTAGTGAAAATATTAGCAAGTTGATACTGTGTGGGAAGGAACCGCACGATCAGAGACTTCTTAACAATAAGATCTCGAAGGAAATGAAAATTGACCTCAATATGTTTAGTACGGGCACGGAAAATGGGATGAGCTACAAGATACGTGGCCCCAATATTATCACAATAGAGAACCGGTGGGGACTGAATTTTGACCCCTAGGTCAGAGAGAAGAGAATTTAGCCACAAGAGTTCGGTGGTGGCATTAGCTAGAACTCAAAATTCAAACTCAGTACTAGATCGAGCAATAGTTGCATGTTTCTTAGCAGTCCACAAGGTCAAATGAGAACCAAGGAAGATGCCATACCTGCCAGTAGATCGTCTGTCGTTAGGGCAACCGGCCCAGTCAACATCTGAGTAAGCAGTCAATGTCTCCGATGTGTGAGCCGAGAAAAATAAGCCTGTATCAATGGTACCTTTTAGATACCACAGAATAAGTTTAACTACACTCCAATGCTCAACAGTAGGATCATGTAAAAATTGACAAACTTTATTAACTATAAAGGCAACATTTGATTGAGTAAGAGTGACATACTGAAGTGCACCTATGATGCTCCAGTACTGAGTGGGATCAGATAGTAACTCGCCATCAAACTGAGAGAGACGATAAGAGGTGGCCAGCAGATTGGGAACTGGTTTGGCTGTAGCAAGATTAGTCTTCAGTAAGAGACCCAATGTGTACTTGCACTGAGAGAGAAACAACTCTAAAGCATCACAGTGATACTCAACACCAAGAAAATAGTGCAATGACCCCAAATCTTTCAGGGCAAAAGTCTGAGACAAACTGCTAATAAGCCGAAAAACATGAAGATAAGAAGAACCGGTAATAATAATATCATCAACATAAACAAGAATATAGATGATGTTCTGATCTTGACTGTAGATAAACAAAGAAGGGTCACATTGGGATCCATGAAAACCAAGATCATATAATTTATTACTTAAATGAGAAAACCAGGCTCGAGGGGCCTGTTTGAGACCATAGAGGGATTTATGAAGTTTGTAAACATGATAGGGATAATTGCTATTCTCAAACCCTTTTAGCTGACGCATATAAATAGTTTCAGTAATAAACCCATTAAGAAAGGCATTATGTACGTCTAAGTGGCAAATGTCCCATCCATGAGAAACTACTAGTGACAAAACAATGCGCACAATTGCCAATTTGACCATAGGGCTTAAAGTCTCAATGAAGTCAATTCTTGAAACTTGAGTGAAACCTTGAGTGACAAGACGAGCCTTGTAACGTTCAATCGAGTCATCAGGGTGTCGTTTGATTTTGAAAACCCACTTGGACCCAACTACGTTCATAGAGGAATCATAGGGAACCAATTCCCAAGTGTCAATCTAAAGTAATGCATGGAATTCGACAGCCATAGCAGAACGCCAATGAGGGGATTTAGCATCCTGTCCATAGGAAGAAGGCTCCTCTTCATGAGTAGTAACTATGAAGTAGAACAGAAGGAAGAGGATGGCGAGTAGCTGATAAAGCTTGAGCCGATCTGGATGCCATTGATCTTGTTGTCATAGAATGAGTGTGAACAGGGGGTCCCACAGCAGGGGTTGTGTCAAGCAGTTCCTAAATAGGCCTGGTGCGTCAAACTGGTAAGAGATCATCAGTGATGGAAGTTTCCTGTTTTGGTTTAGAGGAAGAAGTAGAAGATTCCTCATTAGTAATAGATTAGATGGCAAGGAAGCAGGAGATACCTTAGGGGAAGAAGCAGTAGGAGATGGACATGTGTCAGCATTAATGATACCCATAGAAGGAAGAGTAACACTAGTGGGAGTATCAGGGCTGGAAGGTGGTGATGACTGCACAAGTCCAGGAAAGGAATGTTCATAAAAAACATGTTGAGAAATGATTTCCGTGCCGGTAATAGGATTGTAACAACAGTACCCTTTGTGACTGCTGTTGTAGCCAATAAAGATACAAGGAGCAGATCGAAAGTCCATCTTGTGCAAATTATAAGGCCGGAGTAGAGGAAAACATTTGCAGCCATATACTTTTAACATAGAATAATCAGGAGGTTTGCCAAATAACTTATCATAAGGAGAGAGATTACCAAGTCTTGGAGTCAGTAGTTGGTTGATAAGCATCGGCCCAGAAGGATTGGGGGAGAGAAGAGGATGCCAATAGAGATAAGGTGGACTCAATGATGTGGTGATATTTGCGTTCAACACTGCCATTATGTTCATGCGTATGAAGACAGCTGAGATAGTGAGTGATATCGGCATTGTCAAGATAACGGGAAAGATAGAAAAAT